GGGCGGCTTTGGGATATGGCTTTAGGCGCTGGCAGGTTTACCTGTGCACTTTTTTTTTGGGGGGGGATTTCTGTCTATACAGACAATATTGATTTGTAAATGATTAACTAACAATCTTGTGCTTGTACTTAAAGTGCTTTGTCTACATTATTGCCAAAGAGTGCCAATGTTAAACGTAATCATCACATCGGCCTCCTCTGACGACCTGTTTGCTGCTGCCTGCCGCTGAAAGGCAGTGGGGACACTTGGACAGAGCATTTATGATGACATATAATGTGTTCTCTGGACACACTGTGCTTTTTCAGTGCTCAGAGGTTGATGGGTCCATGTCAGAGCTGGCTATGAATTTCAGACAGATCAGGCCTTAACTTAACAAAAAAGTTATCAATCGTTCTTTTCATCTTTTCTCATTACCCACAGCTACATCCACTTCTCAGGCCTAGGCTGCTCACCGGGACTATGTATCATCACTGATTTCTATAATCCATTCGATTTGATTCACAAGGTTCCGATTCGATTCAATTTTGCCTCAGAGAGTCAGAAATATTATAATTCTGATCATTGATCAGTACTGACACTAGACTTTATCAGAGATGTGAACATCACAGCAGAGGCCTTTGTGTCAAAGTAACTGAGGATAAAACACAGAAAAACATGAAGCAGATTTTCCTGGCCTGGCTTTTTATAGCAGATAACCTTAAAAATATTCTGCATTTTGCATAATTTTAAAAAGTTTAAATGTCTTCAGTATTGAACAGCAGAAATTAGGCTTTCTTGTCCGAGGTGATTAAGTAAAAAAAAAACCAAAAAAAAACCAGCGGTCGACTGCGCTGTAAACAACGGTAGACTGGTGGGTAATAAGCGAATGAATAATGCAGAATACAGAGATTTGAGATGGGAAACTGTTCTTGAAGTACAGAGAGAGAGAGAGAGAGAGAGAGAGAGCTGTGCATGAAGTGTGATTTTTATCGTGGTGGAAGCAAAACAGCAAAAGTAAGAGGGAATTAATGGTGATGTTTATCAAATGTGAAGCGTAGTTTGCTGCTGGTTCAGTGAATTTTGGCCGCGTACCTGCTCTCATTTACTGTTTGGTGGTTGTTGAAATAGTTTTATGAGCTTTAACCTGAGATTTTGGCGTTTCTGGTAAAATAAGTTTATATTTAAAAGTCGATTCAGGATTTAACGAATCGATATTGCTTTATTCAAGCTACTCACCTCTCTCTATCCGCCTGCACTTTCAAACGTACACACGAAGGACTACGGGAATATCTGGACCACGACCAATCAGAGAGGCCCCGCCCCTGACTGTCTCTGATTGATTTAGACCACGATAGGGGCATAATGTGTGTCTGCTGTTGACCACATGGAGACTTTCAGAGTTGCTGAGTTTTTTTTTGTTTGTTTGTTTGTTTGTTTTTTTTGTTGGTCGCACCGGTGCAACCCAAGATATTTTTTTAGTCGCACCATTGAAAAATTTGGTCTCATTTGCGACTAAATTGGTCGAACTCTAGAGCCCTGGAATACAATTTATGGAGCGCTATAACAGGAAAATTGTCATAGTAAGATCAAAGATATTTAAAATACACCAAAAAAGATAAATATTATAATAATTTTCCATTAATAAGGAGAAATACCAACAGTATGAATCAGTGGGTGATTCAATAACAAGTAACAGAGAAAATAAATCACCAGTAGTGCCATTTTGTTTACCTTTTAGCCTCTCTTAGGTCACTCTTTCATTTTTTACAGCACACTTATTAACCATTGATTTACTGATCAATGTCTCCATTCTTGATTCATGTGTCTCATTACCATCAAGCTGTCTCCTCTGGGGCTTAAACATTAGGTCAATGTAGAATTGGTACAAAAAGTCCTTCAGTTTCTACTAGGGCATGAGCAAGTTGTTATTTTTTTAACAGCCATCTTGAAACTGAAGTCAGGGTTGTAGCTGCTTTTAATGACAGGTGTCTCAAACTAGGCAGCTACAGCTGATTGGTGTTTGTGCTTTCTGGAAGATATTATTACAAATAATCCATCCTGCTGCAAGGTAGAGTTGTTGGTTAGCGTACTAACCAAGCTTGCTACCTTGAGCTGAGCTAATACGCTAATACTCCAAAACACAATCTGTCCAAAGCTATGAAGAGTTTAAAACTAATGTGTGACCTTTTCATCAAGGTCGCTATGTTTAGCTTTTATATACAGTCTATAATTAGCACCAGAACATTTGTTGGCTTGAGAGCGAGCGATTTTTGTTAGCTGTTAGCAGCTATACAAAAAAAGGGAATTCTTAGCTAAACTACGGAGATGTCCAAATTTGTAGACTCCTCCAAATGTGGTCGACAAATGCGTCCTCATTTTCCCCAGAATATCCCAGAATTCATTGCACGGCCCAGCCAATTTCAGTTTCCAATAATGGCGGCCGCTACTTAGTTGTAATATTACTCTTATTACTCTTTCACTTTTAAGATATTTTCAGGCGAGAATGTAGCTGTGTAAAGTTCAAATATCTGCTCGGTTTATCACGATGTCACATATTTGCAAAAGTGCTCCGACGTTTTAGGAGAAGTCTGTTACCCACCAGCTCGATAGCTCGCCGGGAGCTCGAGGGTCACTAGAGCCACTGAGAATGGCAAACTCCCGACACATGGTTTTTCTGACCCCCACGGTCTTTCGCTACTCAGGTTAAATGTGATATATAAGTCACTTATATAACTTAAAAATGTTATTGTTTGTTTTTATTTCAATGTTTTATTTGTTCCTGAGTAAATCGGTTTGGCTGATATTAAAGTTATAGTTTTCACACAGCTAAATAAACATCAAACAGAAAACTGATTAAACAGAAGTGTGAGATGGTCGAGAGTTTACTCCTGTGTCCTGTTACATTTTAGATAGAAAGGAGCAGACAGCTAAACTCCACCGAGACAGCTGGTGACGCAAATCTGAAGGCTGGACCGTCCAATTTCACAGCCGCTTACTTCTGGCCTACCCGGCCCACGTGGACCGCTATGGCCGGGTCCTCAAGAGGATACAGCCTATGAATTTGAACACCCCTT